GAAGCGAAAGAAAATAACAAAAAAAGGGGGGGGGGGGTGGATGCCTTATTCACTACTTTTTCTAATATCTTCATCTTTTGATTTGTCAAAACTATACCAAAAAAAAAATTTACAAAATACTTACTACACAAATCAGTAGACCTCCAGTTTATCACAACACCCTTCTTGCGTGCCTCGTGTGCGTACATGCCTAAAATATCACACAGACATTTCTCGTTTGCAGGACAAGCACATACATCGTACAGGCAAGCACTGAAGTATGGATTTGGATCTACAATTACATGGGCTGGTTTGAATACATCACCCTGTAAATGAAAAAAAAAATGTATAAATAATGTGTTAAATCATGCAGATTTAAGTATTAGAAGATTTTAAAACAATTTAAATTACTTGAATATAATTTTTAAAAATTATTTCTAGCTTGGAACGATTGAAGAAGAATAATCAATACATATGGAAATTTATAAATTGCATTCAAGTCAAATTTAAAAAAAAAGGACCACCAAATCCACCCATTGGAACTTACACTACACCCAAACAACACACCTACTTTCCAAAACACCTTACCAAAACGTAACTGAACACAGAAAACACACCAATCCAAAACACCTTAACCTATCCACACTTGGCATACTGTACCTGTACCTCGCACCAACTCATTTGGCACACCTCACACCAACTTACACATAACATCAAATTTTTACCCAGGCTCACCAAGTGAATATGCTAATTTTTATTTTCAATATTCCACAAACCTTTAAAATACTGCACTGAGTACGAGCTCTGACCTCCAGGTCACCTCCAGCTTTGATGCATGGCTCCAACTCGTTGCCTTCACGACAAGAACATTCTGGGAATTCCCCGACAAGGAATGTGTTACCATAATCGGATGCTGTCGACATTAACGTTCCATTGCTACTCCTAAGATAAAAACAACATTTTATATTTTTACACAATATTCAGTTTTATATATTGTGTGGAAAAATTCACAAGCATTCCAATATGAAACTATAATACAAAATGGACAGATTTTTTGGGTATTATATGTTTCATTGTGTACCAATATAAAATATAATACTAAAATCTCTGGAATTGACCAACCAAATAAGCTTTACCAAAAGTTGTTGGCAATAGAATGTAGCAATTTTATGGAAACACAGCTTGAGAGGTGGAAAAGGATTGCCAATAGTTATTATTAATGTAATGTGAGCAGACTTGAAATCATGTACTTTCAGTTCATTATCCAATCATGTGGAAGAAAGCTGTATCCATAACATTAAACAAACCTGAAATCATCACTTGGATCGTTGTTATAATCTCCACATAATCCGCACAGTTGACCCTTCCATGACACGTCAGCTGACACTTCAGCCATGTGCCGACCGTCCCATGAGACGGTGATGCCAAGACTTGAGTGTACAACCACCAACAAACCTAAAAATAAATAAATTACAGTAATGAAATAAAATAAAATATATATAGTCTACATTGTTAGTGTATTAGACAAAATTCAACAATAACAAATTATGTTCGGGTCTATTTTTAGGCTGGGTCCCTATTACGGAAATTTCCTTTTTAT